GTCAATCAATAGGTGCACACTCACGTACAAGATGTTTAACATTGGAGGAGAAAAATGCAGCTGAACTATATGTTTTGCTGAATTGCAAGGAGGTTGATGGTTGGGTAACGTAAGTTTTACTCCTTAGAATTAGAATATAATAACTAATATGATTTCCATAGTCTTAATTAATTAATAAATACATATTGTTTTTCAGTAAATTTGAAGAAGTTGGTGCAAATATAACCTGTGAACAACTACAAAGAGTGCGAAGAAATAGTTTTGTGCAATGGTTTAAAAACATGGTAACAAATTACTAATTTCTCAAATTTTTAATTATATATTAAATTTTACTAAAATAAAAATTGTTTAATGTATAGGTGCTTGGTGGCCAATATGAAATTAGTGAACAACTTATTCATCTTGCAATTGGCCCAACCTTTCAAGTGAATGTTTATAATGGGTTCTATGCAAACGGCTTTAAATTTTTGACTGAAGAGTATACTATGACTAGAAAGACATATAACTGTGGTGTCTGTGTTAAAGGAACCACCATCAATTCTGAAGATGAAATTGATTACGATGGTGTCTTAAAAGAGATTATCGAGTTATTGCATTATGGACACTCAGGCCGACAGGAGACTGTAGTCTTATTCAATTGTGATTGGTATCACACGAGATGGGGAATACGCGTGGATGTTAAACACGGAATTGTTGATGTCAATCCAAGCTTCCAACTTTCAACTGGAGAGCCATTTTGCCTTGCTAGTCAAGCACAACAAGTTTATTATACTCCATATCCGAGTACAGATAGAATTACTCGGGGATGGTTCGCAGCATGTAAAATAAAATCTAGACATCTTATTGACACCTCATCAACCTCATCTTCAGCAGAGGATGATGACATTTTTCAAGATGATGACCCCCCCATAATGCAAGGCTCTTCATTAGCTACAGATTTAGCTGCGTACCAATCACTTCAACTCCATGCAAAAGGTGTTACAGAAGTTGAGGTTAATGCTGATACATCCGAAGAAGATGAGGACTATAGAGAAGAAAAAGATTCAGAAACTTCAGGAAATAGTAGTGATAGCATTGATGAAGAGGATGATAGTGATGATTGATTGAAATATTTGTTATCATATATTATTACTCATTAAATATATGTATTGAATTTTTTATATATATTGTTTTATCAAGTTGTATATTTTTTTATTTAAAATAGCATCATTGTATGAATGTTCTAAATTTATTATTCATTATTTGTGTACATGTATTAATAACTATTTTGCTATTCCTCTTTCAGGATGTCTGGAAATCCAGCAGGTTCGGCTAGGAGGAGATCTTCTTCCTCAGGATCCCAGGGGCAACGTAATCGTGATCAGCCACAGGTATTCTCTAGTAGTGGCATAACTCATCATATAGAGCAGACGAGATGTGATCCATTGATTGAGGATATGGATCATTTGACATCTGATCATGATACTGAGGGCCCTTCATCCTAGAAGGGGAAAAAAGGACGAGGTCAAAATTTGAAAGGTCTACGCCCTCCAGAGAATAGAGAGAGTAGGACCTGGGTTAAACTTACTGATGATAAGCTTCAGTTTGCTGATCCATCCATTCCTCAAGCTATCACTGCCTTATGGAAGTCACGTTTTGATGGCCCATATTTCACATTTGATCGTGTCCCCAACAACAAGATTAATGAAATTTATCCTTGTTTCAAAGTAAGATTTAATTTTAGCAAATTATATAAAATGAATGGATTTAGCAATTTTTAATAAAAATAAATAACTTAATTACTTAACTAGAATTTATTTTTTTTACACATTTAATATTGTTCATTTTTTATTTTGTAGACACTTTACCAGTGGGACCGTGCAGATAATCTCCATGTACGAAATGCATTCATAAATTGTATGAGGCATAGATGGAGTGATAATATGAGGGACGTGAGGTTAAAGTGGGTGAAGGACCCATCTTATATCCCATGTTGGATGCCACCTCATTTATGGTCTCAGCTACTACATTATTGGGATTCTGATGAATATAAGATGCTTCAAGAAAGGGGAGCAAAGAATAGGAATTCAGGGGAGAGAGTGACTCACACCACTGGGCCAATTAGCTTTGGCATCCATGAGATGCGGATGGTAATCAAGCATAATTAATAAAAAATTAAATTTAATAAATTTTATTTACTAATAAATTATGTCAATTTACACTAATCAATATATTGTATTATAAATATTTTGAAATACAGACTGAAGCTAGAGGTGGTGTGCAACCTCCACATCAAGAGAAGTTCAAGGAGACACATACCTTCAAAAAGAAGGTGGCAACGAATCAAGAGCCGATGTGGATAAATGAAAAGGCAAAGCAC